GGTGTGTTGAGGCAAGTTGGAGCTAAACTCTGCAGGACACCGGCCCTCCAGGACCGAGTTTGGGCACCCCTGCTCTAATGATTTCTCAAACACGGACTCGATAGTCGTCATTTTGACACTAATACAATGGATATCATAATTGTACATTATATTGGTTCTGTTTTGTTGTTGCATTCCACTTTTTTGATTCATGTCAGTAAAAAAAAACATAAATAATCTGGCATTCCTTCCTTTAATGGCTTATAATAATGTAAGCAGACAGTCATGCCCACATAAGGTAGGGCTGACAGGACCAGAGCCTCACTGTCAAAAGAGAGAGAGAGCTGATGCTGGGAAATCTGATCATGTGTTAATCTCCAAACGCTTCTGCATCTGTGCTGGAGATATGAGTCACAGCACACACACACACACACACACACATTTCTGAAGCTATATTAGTGAGGACATCTGGGTATATGGAATAGTTGCAGAGGCGGACAGTAACTAAGTACATTAACTTGAGTATTGTACTTAAGTACACTTTTTGAGTATCGGTACTTTACTTGAGTATTATTTTTTCTGGGAACTTATGACTTCTTTCATTCAAGTAATAGAGTTGAGTACTTTGTCCGCCTCTGAATAGTTGTTATACTAAGTTCATGATATTTATTTTATCATACCCAAAAGCTTACAGCACATAAGCCAATTGACATTATTAGATATAAAGCACAGCATTTGGCTAATTTATGTTCTTGTTTTATTTGAGAGGAATTCATTTTAAATTTGGCCATAACAGTTACAGCCAAACCTATACACACACATTTGTTTTTCTGTCAGATTTTTTTAAACATTACCTCTAAATGTAATCACATGAAATCACGTTTTAGAATGAAGACATTATTTAGTATGTTTGTTTTTTTGCAGAGCTTCTTTCTGTTGAAGATCTGCTCTAAGCTCGAATTCTGTCAAATTCATTTTGCTCTGCTTTGATCATTTATCATTTCTTTGAAGAAATGAAGTCAGAGACAGTACATTTTCAGTGTATTCAGACATACAGCTGTGTTTTTACAGTTAACTGGATGAAAAGATGTCAGAAAATGTTACGTTACCTAAAATATTTAGCATGTTGAGGTGCCTTTCACACCTGTCACGTCAGTGATTAACCCTGTCACACAGTGCTACAAAACAAAGTCTAAAGAACAATTACAAACATTCTCTCCGTCTGCTTTCTATAGGTCTAAAGCTCCCTGTCATCATGTCCGACACAGAGGACGTGTAAGTATTCTGACATTTGATGTAATAAAATTTATATTCATGCTCTTTGGTCAAGACAGAATAATGATAAATCTTCTTTCCCTCTCTTCAATCAGTGGGGTCGATGGTAAGTACTAAATTTGAATTCTTCTTCATCTTATTATCATTATTGCTGTTAATTTGTAGAAAAACATATGCCTTAGCCAGGATTTTCAAATCTGTCATGTGTACACGTGTCCACTCAATATCTATTTCCATTTTATTTTAAATATTATGTATATGTATTTTTTCAGTCAGCATCAGTGGTTTCTTGGTATGTCAGCAGTTACTTTGATTATATTTAGAAACAGTGAGAGCCTTGGTGATATTTTTTGCAGGTTTGGCTTTGCTCTATTTAGCGTTATAAATTAATTCATAAAAAACACATATTTCAAATATATATCCAATGCAAGAGTGCCCTGAATTTGCTTGTAGTGACTGATATTGTGCCACCTGCTGTTTGGCAGCTGTTTCATCAATCTCATGCCAGCATACTGCCTTCTGCCACTGCCACAGAGAGCTTTTTTTAAGAACATCTCTGGAGGCTAACATGTCAAACGCATGCAGTGGCTGGGGGTAGTATTGATGATGCTCATGTTACTGGTGTTCTCTGAGGTGAATGCTCATGTGAGGCTACAAAGGCCAGAGATCAGACCAAATTATTAATTTACAGGAATAACTGGCCATATAGAATGTGATTCTGTACTGAACTGATCAGAGCACTGACTCCACAGAACACCAGCAAAAAAAGGCTCTGCATGCATTTAATGTATGATGTAATTCCAATTCTAATAGTGTCCAACAAAATTTGTAATTTTTGTATTCCTTTACTGCTTTCTTTTCTGGCATATGAAGAGTTCGAAGAAGGAGGTAAAAAAATAAACAAACAAATAATTAAACACCACCACTACAACCAAACCAACCAAGAGGATTTGAAAATTAACTAGTCTTTCAATGTACTAATTCAACACAATGTTCCCTTAAAAAATGCCTGACACTGTCTGTAGTAAGTTGTAACTAAATTTAAAAATAAAAGAATTAACCGAAAGCAGAAAATCATTTGCTTAACTAATCTTTATCTAATTCAAGAACCTTTCAAATGTCAACCTTTTCATTTAACTCATCATAAGGTAAACTAAAACCATAAGCATATTAATCATATTTATGGTAGGAAATCTAACCAGAGCTAACCAACATGTGCTGCCCCCTACAGCTTGAAGGGTGCCATGACCTTTGATGACCTTTTAAGCAGAATTCATAAAGCAGATTGGAATATTCCAGTATCTGGAGACCTGAAGTTCTAAATTGTGTGGCTGCTGAAAAGGTCATTAAAATAAACTGTTGTTTTGATGCCTTGTCTATGTTTTTCAGATATTAGTATGTGGATTTTATAAGGTGTGAACTTTATTCTAGTTTATTTTCCTATCAAACACAAAATAGTTAGAGATGGCTTTAGATTATTGGAATCAATGGCTTTGGCAAACAGGGAAAAACAAGGTCATTTCTTGTGGGTATTATATTTGGCATGTGGAATCCTGGTGTCTCAAGGTCTCATCATTTCATAACAGGTTCTCCCGCTATGTGCATCCTCTCAGCCATCTATACATTTCACACATGACTTTCTCTGTCTTTCTCACTTTAACCAATACATAATCTCCCATTTCTGAATGCTCCCTCCTCTGCAACGCATTAACTGTTGATAACCTTCCTTCCCCTGGTTGCTTGCTGCATGTATTATTAGCTGAAGAGGTAGTAGAGGTAGAGGTAGCCCCAGAGGCAGCTCCTGAACCAGAGCCTGAGCCTGAGCAAGAACCAGAGCCAGTGCCAGAACCAGAGCCAGAGCCATAAAAACAGCCAGAACCAGAGCCAGAGCCAGAACCAGAACCAGAGGTGCATGAGGAAGGTATGTGGCATGAATATTCATTCATCCTTCCCATTTCCCCAAAACAACTAAAAACAGGCAGCGCACCTCATCTGCTACTTAAAAATCAGCCACATTAATGTAGTTGCCCAGTAGTACCCTTCCCCCCAAACCCAACAAAACTTTAACCACTACTGGTGGTACCTCCTCTTCGTTCAGGCCCACCATGAGACTGGTGTGGTACTGCCAAATGGTGACAGAGCTTAGATCCATGCCATTTCAGTCCCTTGTGGTGCATTTGAATTATTTTTCAGAATTGGACCATTTCCACCCTTTATGAACAAGGAATATTTTCCAATTCGAATTCACTTGCAGACCAATTGGGAGTGAGCTGGAACGATCAAACTCTGACAGACGTAGTGCTCGTCACACCTAAAATGTAGCTAAAGCCCTGCTTAGGGCAGCAAAAAGCACACAAACAACATTAATGTTCTCTATTTTACTCTTGCTTTCAACGCAAGAGTTACGAAATATTTCAAATAGTTACGAAACATTGCAATGGCTCAAACATCTCATCTAGGTCACCTGCAGAGTCTAGTCAGATATATAACAAACTCAGATTTAGATGCTGTTAGTCAAAAGAGATGGGAAAATGAATGAAGGATAAAAAGATGAATCTTTTCCACAAGGCTTTGTTGTTATGTTCATTCTTGGTCGGAAGAGTGAGAATGGTCCACTTGCAAGGAGTTCTGTGTCTGTTTATACTCATGTACTTATAAGCATCTCACGATCTGAATTCTTATGCAATGATTCTTCTGTATTTGTTTTGATCACCTACTGTATTTGTTTCACAACTTTCTAACTAACCCAGTTTAACATTACTGAAACGATTGAAATTAATATATGTAATTTACTTTGTAAACATACTTTCAGAAGTTACATACATCATTCTTAAAGCTCAGGTAAATAAACCAGCACTGAGTTGTTACTAAGAGTAACTCCATGTTCATGGATATGGCTCACAGAATTCCCACCGATTGTTGACTGAACTCGTTTTAAACTCTCTAACCATGTTACATATCCCTCTCCCTTTTTTGTTTTATTTTTTCATAACAGAGGATAAGCCCAAGTTCAAGTAAGTAGAATTATTCACTAAGCTCTTTTTATAGCTGAGCAGCCAATTCCAATGCTACGATGCAATACAGCATCCTCTGAGTGTTACTGAGGAGCTGGGGAAGACTGAGATACCCAGAATCCCACTAAAACACATTTTGCTTTCATTCAGACCAAGTGCACCAAAGATCCCTGACGGGGATAAGGTGGACTTTGATGTAAGCAAGTACTTCATTGGATACATTATGATATAATGCTATGTATTAAACATTGTAAGAATACATGTTTGAGGTCATATTTACATGTATGCAAACAGGACATCCAGAAGAAGCGTCAAAACAAGGACCTCGTTGAGCTGCAGGGCCTGATTGATGCCCACTTTGAGTGCAGGAAGAAGGAAGAAGAGGAGCTTATTGCTCTGAAAGATAGAATCGTGAGTGTCAGCCATCTGTACTTTATCCCCCTAAATAGATGGATACTCAGCAAATAAAGAAATACGGTATGTGGACATTAAATATTTAAGTTGAAATGATCTTACCTGTATCTTATGTTAAAGCTTCCTCTAAGAAAAAAACAAAACAATTAGACTATAAACAAGACGATCACTGCAACAATATTACAGTAATATTAATACTCATAAGAGCCTATTTTCACTAACCAATAACTGAGACGTAAGATGGTGTTTGTAGAGAACTTGAGAGCGAGTTTGCAATGTAATGCGAGAGAAATGCGCCAGTTTCATTTACCAGGATCAGTCTAGCTATAAAATGTTTTTGTTATTTGAAATAAAGCTTAAATAAAATATAAGATAAAAAAACTTTTGTCTCGAATAAAGTTAAAAAAGTTAGAATTGTCGTTTTGGCAACTAACTAAATATTATTTTTATTTCTATTTTCATGTAATAAATCAAAACAAGTAAACCTGTAACTGAAATAAAACATAAAACAAAGCTAAATAGATATATTTACAAATGAGAAAGGCATGTGCTAACATTACTAACAACTAGTAGGCAAATTACTAACATTAAAAATTAAAACTGAATATTAATAACATTAAATATATTAATAAACACTATTGTCTAATAGTATATAAATAAAACTAAAATAACGCTGGCCTAGATGAGCAGAATGATACAGCATTGCCATGAACGAAGGCGAATAAAATGAAATATCTGACAGCTGATATAATATAAGGACGCTATTGACCAATCAGAATCGAATATTCCAGAGCGCCGTGTTTCAGAATATTATAATGGACACATTTAATGTGTGCATGTGCAGGAGAAACGTAGGGCTGAGAGGGCAGAACAGCAGAGGATCCGCGCTGAGAAGGACAAGGAGCGTCAGGCAAGACGCGAGGAAGAGAGGCTGAAGAAGGAGGAGGCTGATGCTAAGAAGAGGGCAGATGAAGATGCCAAGAAGAAGTCTGCCCTGTCTAGCAAGGGCTCCCAGTATAGCAGCTACCTGCAGAAGGTTTTTCTATCAACCCCAACTCTGATTCTGTCAATCATCACTCTGAGTACAGTACTGTATATGACTGAAAAGTGAATAGGCCTGAGTGTTTTGTTTGCATATTGCTAAAACAGGCTGATTCAAAGAGGGGAGGTAAGAAGCAAACTGAAAGAGAGAAGAAGAAGAAGATTCTGGCAGACAGACGCAAGCCTCTTAACATTGACCATCTGAATGAGGACAAGCTGAGGTCAGCACGAATACAAATCTATGGGAAAGACAACTTGTTCTGATGAAACAGAGTTTGTGTGTGTGATCTAAATGTGTTTTGGTGCATATGTGCGTTTACAGGGAGAAAGCTACAGAGCTGTGGGACTGGTTATACCAACTGGAGGCTGAGAAGTTTCAGCACATAGAGAAACTCAAGAGGCAGAAGTATGAGGTGAGGGAGCTGTCCAATGACCATTTACACAATACAACATCTGTCAAATTATTTTACTTTATGTTTCATCATGGCCTACATTTGTTTTACTAGGGGAGATGCACTACTTTGTCAACTGCATCCTGGACAAGTTATAGCCTAAAGGGATAGCTGACCCAAAAGTGAAAATCTCTGTTACAAAAAGAGATGTTAGACAGAATGACCATCTCAGTCACCATTCATTTTCATTGTAAAATGTACTTAAATGCAAAAAGCATTGAATTCTGTGTTGTCTGAGATGCACATTCTGCCAGTCAAACAGGTTTGGAATAACATAAATATGAGGAAATGATGACTTTCATTTTTGGGTGAACTATCTGTTCAGTGAACAAGCATAACGTTAAAACACAGTTTATGTACCACCTAGCTGCTTTTAGCTGCTCAAATATAAAGTCAATGCCTTGTCAATTATTTATACAACAGTTAGTTATGGCCCTTGAATTTAATTTATACAACAGTTAGTTATGGCCCTTGAATTTGATTCATAAGTGCTGGGAATTTTCAGTGACTCTTTCTGCAGGTTACATCGATACGGCTGTTGGTGGTGACAAGTCTTTATGAGTGAATCATTAAATAATTTATTCAACTGATTCATTCAAGATAGCTGATTCATTCAGAAGCTAAACACTACTATTGTGTGTTGCTTGGAGACACAATACACTCTTAAAAATAAAGGTGCTTCACGATGCCATAGAAGAAGCTTTTTGTCTAAATGGTTCCATAAAGAACCTTTAACATATGAAGAACCTTTCTATTTCACAAAAGGTTCTTTGTTCCTCAGATTACAAAAAGGTAAGAAAGAGATGGTTCTTTAAAGAACCTTTGACTGAATGGTTCTTTGTGGAACCAAAAATGGTTCTTCTATGGCATCGCTGTGAAGAACCTTTTGAAGCACCTTTATTTTTAAGAGTGAAGTTGATTCTGCTTCGGCTTTGTTTTTGCTGGTGGAACAAAAAACGTTTACAGATGTGGTCACATTGCTGGCAAAAACATTATCTATATACAGTATTTCTACATTATCTATTGTCAATAGTGTGACGTATGAAGCAAAGCTCCCACAAAATTCACCCTTAATCCAAGTAGCTTTCTGTTGATCAATGTGGCAAATTTGAGCGACCAACCTGAACCCACTGTGAAAACTGCGAGGGGACAAATCTTTCACCCTCATGTGAAATTCCTGATCACATGGATTCCTGTTGTTGACTATATTTCATGAAACGGTAATTGTGACCGCCTCTTAAAGGGGTCATATGATGCTGCTAAAAAGAACATTATTTTGTGTATTTGGTATAATGAAATGTGTTTATGCAGTTTAAAGTTAAAAAAACACATTATTTTCCACATACTGTACATTATTGTTTCTCCTCTATGCCCCGCCTTTTTGAAACGCATCGATTTTTACAAAGCTCATCGGTCTAAAAAGCGAGGTGTGCTGTGATTGGCCAGCTATCCAATGCG